CACTAAATTTGCTGGTGTCCCTATAAGTGGAATGCTAGAGGACAAAATGGTACAGGGCTGATGTGTAGGATAGGCTGTTTGTGTTATACTGTGTGTAGCTATGGGTTGTAGTGTATGTGTGCGCGTATGTGAATGTATAGGGGCTGTAGAAATTATGTGTGTTTGAAGGGGTTGTATTTGTGCATGTGAACACCTAGGGGCTTCAGAATGTGTGAGCATATGTGTATTGAGGTTGTATTTGTATTTGTTGGTGTGTTCACAGCTAGGGGCTGTAGTGTGCATGTAAGATTATAAACTTGTTTGAGCAGGGCCTTCATCTCTTATCTCGCCTTATTCAAGAAAACCATAAGAAATGAATCACTGAACTGAAGACCCAGCTCAAAAACTGGACAATACACAATTTATCATGTGTTGGTTGTAGTAACTCAATCAAGATCCCAAAAAAAGAGTGTGAATAAATAGAAGATCAGTGGTAATGCATTACCACTGATCTTCTATTTATTCACACTCTTTTTTTCAAATGTGGACATTCAAACAAACATTCTCCTAGAGTAGCCATGGTGATTTAGAAAGAGCTCCTAAGATGGGGGGTATGGGATTTCTAGATATCGTGGCTTACCATGTGGCATCAAACATTTGCTACTACAACCACAAACAAGGTTCCTTTAAGGCAGTGTTTCCCAACCCAGTCCTCAAGGCACACCTACCAGTCCATGATTTAGGGATTACCCAGTTGTGTCTAAGGTGTTTTTTTTCTTCTTTGTAAAAACACCTTAGACACAACTGGGTAATCCCTAAATCATGGACTGGTAGGTGTGCCTTGAGGACTGGGTTGGGAAACACTGCTTTAAGGTGATACTTAGAAAGAGCACATTTAACTCCAAATACTGAAGCCGATGTGTTGTATGAAATATGTTGACAACTTCGTGCTTTGCCCTTAAGATCTGGAGACTGGGTATTCAATTTTCTTAAACTATATTTTCAGCTATATTTAGCACCACTTTATATGTTACAATTCTACACACCTGACCTCAACCTAAAACATTGGCATCAATCTGGCATTCTCAATCTTCACAACTTATTATAGAATGATCAAATGTATTCCTTTCTGAAAAATCAAGAACAAATACACTCTTCCGGGAAGAGAAATATTTACTTATCTCCAAATTAAATTAATTCTCCAACCATATGTACTCAACATTCCTAATGGCCATAATCTTTCATCACTCCAATCTTTATCAATTCAGTACAAGTGAAACTACTCACTACATGCTACCAACTATTGATAAACTCTGATTCCAATCAGAAACGATCCTTAACTTGCCTATATGAAAAAGAACTACAGCAATCATTTCAGACATCAGACTGGGATAAAGAATTTGCAGCCAAGTCAAATTTATCTCCCATTGGCAAACAAGTAGAAAATTATTAATTTGCTGGTACTTAACACCCAAAAGAATATGCCACATATATCCCACAATAATGAGTGAATGTTGGAGATGCCAGGATTAAGGATGGCTCTATGCTTCATATATTCTGGAGCTGCCAGAAATTAAAGAAATACTGGTCAAATATTTCAGATATTTTGCAGAACAATTGCTAACAACAACCTTAATATTTCTACCCCAAGTATACCTCCTAGATATTTTGCCAGGCTCACTGTCAAAACAAAAAATAATATTGTGAAACAGTGGAAATCAGTTGAGAGTTGGCACATGATGTAGTTTACTCAAAAGAGAAATTATCACATAATATGTACTTTTGTACCTCCAAGATAACAACAATGAAACATTGCTAGAAATTGATCTGGTGCTACATTATAAATGAAAGATTTTCCTGAAAAAAAGATTATATGTACTTGTAACCAGGGGCGTTTTAGCCGCGAGGCAAACAAGGCATTTGCCTTGGGCGGCATTTTTCAGGGGGCGGCAAGAAACGCCGCCCCCCAAATGCCCAGGGCAAATGTCTTGTTAGCCTGGCGGCTAATTGACATGCTGGGCTGTGCGGGCGGCGCTGGGCAGGCGGCTGGCGAGGGAGCTCTTCCCCTGAGCGCTCTGCTCAGCTCCCTCGCGCGCCGCAAAGTGAGGCTGGGAGCCGGAAGATGACGTCATATCCCGGCTCCCAGCCTCACTCTGCGGCGCGTGAGGGAGCTGAGCGGACCGCTCAGGGGAAGTGCTCCCTCGCCAGCGCTGACCGCCTGCCCAGCGCCGCCCGCACAGCAGCCACTGGACCACCAGGGAGGTAATGAACCCCTTCCCCCCCAGCACTCCCAGAGGTAAGGAGGTGGGGGGGGGGAGTGAATAAAAAAAAAAAAAGTGTTAATGTGAGTGAGTGTGTGTCTGTTAATGTGTGTGTGTGTGTGTCTGACTGTGTGAGTGTGTGTGTCTGCTAGTGAGTGAGTGTGTGTCTGACTGTCAGTGAGTGTGTGTTAGCCTGTGAGTGTGTGTGTGTGTCTGTTAGTGTGTGTGTGTCTGTTAGTGTGAGTGTGTGTGTCAGTGAGTGTGTGTTTGTTAGTGTGTGTGTGTGAGTTTGTGTGTGTGTGTCTGCTAGTGAGTGTTAGTGTGTATGTGTGTGTCTGACTGTGTGTCAGTGAGTGTGTGTGTGCCTGCTAGTGAGTGTGTGTGTCAGTGAGTGTGTCTGTTAATGTGTGTTTGTTAGTGTGTGTGAGTTTGTGTGTGTGTCTGCTAGTGAGTGTGTGTCTGTTAGTGTGTGTGTCTGACTGTTTGTCTGTTAGTGTGTATGTGTGTGTCTGACTGTGTGTCAGTGAGTGTGTGTGTGTATGTGTCTGACTGTGTGTGTCTGTCAGTGAGTGTGTGTCTGTTAGTGTGTGTGTGTGTGTTTCTGTTAGCGAGTGTATGCGGATCTGTCAGTGAATGTGTGTGTGTGCTAGTGAGTGTGTGTGTCAGTGAGTGTGTGTCTGTTAATGTGTGTGAGTTTGTGTGTGTGTCTGCTAGAGAGTGTGTGTCTGTTAGTGTGTGTGTCTGACTGTTTGTCTGTTAGTGTGTATGTGTGTGTCTGACTGTGTGTCAGTGAGTGTGTGTCTGACTGTGTGTGTGTGTCTGTTAGTGTGAGTTTGTGTGTCAGTGAGTGTGTGTCTTAGTGTGTGTGTGTGTTTCTGTTAGCGAGTGTATGCGGATCTGTCAGTGAATGTGTGTGTGTGTGTGTATTTAGAAGGCGGGGCGGGGGGAAGGGTTGGGGGACTGGTGCGTGGGGCCTGAATTTTGTCCTGCCTAGGGCAGCACAAAACCAGGATACACCACTGCTTGTAACGGCACCCTCAGCAAAAAAAGGTTCGATCGTAGTCCTTTGTGACCAAAGGAAGCATGGCTTTTCTGCCCAAAACCAGTTCCACAGAGTCTTCTATCCTGGAGATAATTGTGAAGTAATCCAATTATCTCCAAGGACAGAGGCAAAACTCCATTGAACACATGTCAGCAAAAGACAATAAAACACATAAAAACATATAACTGTGCAGTCATTGCACAAAACAGGTACATTCAACATATCCCCAGAGAGCTCAGATCTGAGCGCACATTATTATTGAATGGCGGTCAGAGCACACACATACAGTTCAATTGCCATGGAGCCAAAGTCTTTCCCATAGTCTTTCATTATACGAATGGGCTCCATGGCATAGCTATCTGGGGTATCACTGCTCAAACAGGGCCAGCACCGAATGACCCAGCTTTCGTGTCTCCGCAGGGTAAAATCAAGCGTTTTAACATGGGGCCATAGTCTAAAGGCAGCAGGCGAGCACCCAGGCTTCTCCAATGCAATGTGGCGAGATTGCTCTCATCACAGTACTATAATAATTTATCATTCTCTGATGTTAAAATGCTGTTGAAATACAATGTAACCTCCTTTTACACTTACATTTTTTGAAATAAACAATGTATAAAAAAAGCAAATCCATAAAGATTATACATTTAAAAAAAATAAAAATTTGATCAACAGAGATCGCCAATCCACATCCTGTCTTCATTCTGTTCAATTCAGTCATTTTCTGCTTATTTCTGAAAGAAATCTGTCCAGCAGGAGTTTTTAGGACTTTTCACCTCCAGTCACAGTTCAGAAGTTCTGCCCAATAAGCAAATAGCAGTCATAACAAAGCTGCTATCAGTTCATTCACACACCAGTTCACATGGTATGGTACAATTCCACTTTGTACACCTGAGCACCAAAGGTAAATCATGGCAGTTATAAGCCATGATGGAAAGAAAGTGTTCTCTCCAGGATAATTTTTGGCAAAGATGCAAAAAAAAAAGTGTTACAGCGTTTAATCTTAAATGATTATTTGAATTCAAGCAGATTGCAACGATATAATGCACACACAGCATTTGTGTTAATGGCCACAATACTGATCTTTTGATATTGTATATTGATTTAATCATTTGCTTACTTGCATACTTGACTTTAGGAACCTATTCAATCACCTTAAAGTCCTCAGAATGTTTTAACATCTGACTCAAACATTGACAATTCCTGGTAATATATGCAACATGTATTTTATTTAGTTAGGGAGATATATCCAAAGTAAATGTACAAAATTGAGAATTAATGGCTAAGTATATTCACTGGTGTCATAAATTTTACATAAATTTAGAATCCTGGTAAATGAAGGCTTATACAGCAGGGATTGTGGAATATTTGCAAAGGAAATTAAAATTGCAGGCCACAAGTTAAAAGGATATTTTTAACTATCTACGCAGACTATATAGATTTTTGGAGATTTTGAGTGGTTTTGGAATATCACACATTAAGTGCAATGTTATATTAGGGTATAATTTTGGTACTCATAGTCCAAGCTTAAATTTTCTCACTGAAATGTCAAGCAGTCCCTTGTTGTCCCTTGTTACCAACATCAGAACTTCCCAACAAATATGGATGGCTTTATATAGAAACTTTTACTAGAGGTGTATTGACAATGTACAGATCGCCCTTAATTCAAAGCTTATCCCTTTGAATCCATGTGTTGATACAGATCCATTGCTGCAATGTCTGCACATATAATTGACCCATTTTATAGAACAATGACTACAAACAGCTGCATTACCTCACTAAAGCAGGATTTACATTATACAAATAGGTACATTTTGTTGTCACCACATAAATAGGAAAAACGAATACTCCTTTATGGAGGCAGATTATCTAAATATGTTTGAGATCATGTGGCAGTGTGTGAACCTCTAACCTATTATAGGAGAATTGTTTCAAATAATTGTTGCAATACAATAGTTCCCCACTCTAAGTTACCAGCTGGTTTTCCCAGAATGTTTGAAAGAGTCTAGTGCTATTTAGAGATTGAACACTTTGTAGCATATCTGGTGAAGAGTATCATTTTGACAAGAAATTCACAGTCTTCTTTGACTTCAATTTGACCATGTGGCTTTGTTTCTTTATAAATTAATACTAAAGAAGAGATAAATAAACATTTTCACAACCAACACATGATCTTACTGGATTTTTAGACATTCCTCAAAAAGTAGGAGTGCAACATAATTTCACTCTTTAAAACATTAAAAAAAAAAGAAAAAAAAAAAACAATCAGTGAAACATTCTGTGGTCTTCAGAAGCATTAAAATGAAAGTGACATACAAAGTGCAATTAGTCAACTGCACTGATAACATTTTGTAAAAATGTAGGTTTTTATGGTATGAAAATATTTCAGCACCAGTTAATAAGAAATACCTTGCAGTTCTAGCTGCAGAACTGAAGGATAATTTTACATTAATAAATTACATGATTAAAAGGATAGCAAAGGTGACCCCAGACTATTTCATCTGTAGCCTGAGTGCAGTGGTCCTGTATACTTAACCCCTTAAGGACACATGATATGTGTGACATGTCATGATTCCCTTTTATTCCAAAAGTTTGGTCCATAAGAGTTAAAGGGATACTCCAGGCACCCAGACCACTTCTGCCCATTGGAGTGGTCTGGGTGCCAACTCCTACTACCCTTAACCCTGCAAGTGTAACTATTGCAGTTTTATTAAACTGCAATATTTACATTGCAGGGTTAAGTCCTCCTCTGGTGGCTGTCTAAGTGTTTTAAAATGACGCTGGACATCCTCACGCTATGTGAGGACCTCCAGCATCACCGAAATCCCCACAGGAAAGCATTGTGTTTTTATTATTAACACTAGAGTGTTCATTGAATGTCTGACTAAATGCAAAAGCATAGAGTGACACATCCTCTGTGCTTTCCAGAAGCCTTATAGTATGGTTAGTACAAGCTCTTTCCTCTGTACATTAAGTCTATGACAATGGAAATAAAGCAAACTGCAGTACACGTATATGTTACGGTACCCTCAGCATGAAATGCACAAACCACCATTTAGTGAACGCTCCCCGTTCGCAATAACCTAGGCTGCATGTGTATCCAGTATAATCATACGAACCGCAAGCAAGGGAACGCTGTAAACTCACGAACGGGGTCCGTACGGGCACTTCACGAGCTCCAAACTCACGAATCGCCAATAGCAGCCGAACGTAGGTATCTCCCAAGCGGCTAATAATCCCATCCAGCAGTCTCTAGTCGTCGGTAATAAATCTCCCCCAATAACGAGACCAAGCTCTGCATTGAGGGTAAAACATGAACTGGCTTTACTGTGGGCTACCTGCCCGTATTTATGCAGGTCTCCCACTTGGTGGACACTCCCCTAGGGGACCAAATGGGAGACTGTAACAACAGATAGACATATGGCAGTTCAGGACCCACAGACACAAAATATTCCTAGCATGCAATAATAATTCCTCCCCTCTGCCCTGGAGATAATTGAGAAGTAATTCAATTATCTCCAGGACAGAGGCAAATCGCCATTTTACATTCAACACATAAAAACACAAAAATATATAACTTTACATTTGTCGAATGCTACCCATTCGTATCACATATCCAGAGATAGCCTGGATCTGAGTGCATATTATTGGCTAATAGCGCTCAGATCCCATACGCATAGTTCAAACGCCATGGAGTCAAAGTCTATTACAGTTCTTCGGTATGCGATTGACTCCATGGGAAGGCTATCTGGGGTAAGTCCATTCGTGCCTTTAAACCTCCCGAATGGCCGGTGTTCGCACACTTCTGTCGATTGAGAAGGGAGGTCGGTGGCTTCAGCGGTGTTTGCTTGAAAAAGTGTCAGTTTTCAGTTCCATGAAATAAATGTCGAACACCACTGGTCTTTCGCATTGTTTAAAATGGCTGCCGCCTCGTGGTCGACATACGAACGACGACCACCCTGTATTCGGTTTTAACCCCTTAAGGACACATGACATGTGTGACATGTCATGATTCCCTTTTATTCCAGAAGTTTGGTCCTTAAGGGGTTAATTGAGAAGTGTCTGTGGTTAACCGCAACGTTCTAATTGGGATCAATAGGTTAACCAGCAGCACACTTCTCTTCTGGGTGGCCGTCCGTTCGGCAGTTCCGTTCGGCAGAAAAGTCCATTCACTTAAACAAAAGGCATACGAACGGGTAAATTCATGAAAAAGGCAAAACAGACGAATCCAGCAATCTTAGTCCATACAGATGGATCTGTCACAGTATATACTTTACTAATAAACATTATGGGCAGCGAGGACTTAAATAGGTCATGTACTGCTTTTATAAACCTACACAGACACACACTTTATATATATTCGAAATATAAAGAGACAATCTAAGCCAAGTTGATGACCACATAATAACCTGTAGGCTATAATGTCAGAGTTAGAAAAGGTGGCTGAAATTTTAAGCTCAGA